CAGGACGGGGGCGGTATAAGGGGCAGGACGGGGGCGGTATAAGGGGCAGGGGCAGGACGGGGGCGGTATAGGGATCTCTCACCAGATGAAGTCGGTGCAGTGGCTGCAGAACGTGGGCTGCTTGAAGAAGCGCGCGGTGAATTTATGCTCCTTCACCTCGTGCACGTTCTTCTGCCTCAAGGCTCCCTTGCGAGCGAAGCGCTGCACCACGTCCGGGTCCGCGCCGGGCTCGGGGCCCGGGAACACGTCGGCCATGGCGCCCCCTCGCTGCTCCCGCCGGGAGCTGGGCTGAGCCGGGAGCCGCCGTCCGCCCCGTCCGGCAGCCGCCGAGCCTCTGGCAGCGGCAGGGCTGGGCGCTGCCTCCTGCTCCGGCTCCTGACGTGCGAGCCGCGCGTAGGGGGCGGGAGGAGGATCCCGGCCCGGCTGCTCCGCCCGTGCGCTGCCTGAGCCCCCTGCCGCGGGCGGGGCGGGGCGAGACGCGCCGGCACTGGGCGGGTGCAAGGCCGGGAGGTCCGGGCCCGGCGGGGTGCGCCGCGTCCTGCTGCCGCTGGTCTCCACACACACACACACACCCGCCCTGTGACAGCCCTTCCCCCACCACACAGCGATTCCCCCTACACACTGTCCCCACACACTGCCCCTCCCTAATACACAGCCCTATCCCCGCACACACTGCCCTTCCCCTCCACACACTGCCCCCAATACACAGCCCTCCCCCACCACACAGCTATTCCCCCTACACACTGTCCGTGCTCTCCACACACACTGCTGCTTCCTAATACACAGCCCTATCCCCGCACACACTGCCCTTCCCCTCCACACACTGCCCCTCCCTAATACACAGCCCTCCCCTCCACACACTGCCCCCCAATACACAGCATTCCCCACCACACAGCTATTCCCCCTACACACTGTCCCTGCCCTCCACACACACTGCCCCTTCCTAATACACAGCCCTATCCCCGCACACACTGCCCCTCCCCTCCACACACTGCCCCCCAATACACAGCACTCCCTCACCACACAGCGATTCCCCCCTACACACACACTGCCCCTCCCTAATACACAGCCCTCCCCCCTGCACACACTGCCCTTCCCCTGCACACAGTACCCCTCCCTAATACACAGCCCTCCCCCACCACACAGCGATTCCCCCCTACACACACACTGCCCCTCCCCCCTGCACACACTGCCCCCCAATACACAGCCCTACCCCACCACACAGCGATTCCCCCTACACACTGCCTCCTTCCCTCCACACACACCGCCCCCACACACTGCCCCTCCCTAATACACAGCCCTCCCCTCCACACACTGCCCCTCCCTAATACACAGCCCTCCCCTCCACACACTGCCCCCCACACAGCCCCTCCCTAATATATAGCCCTCTCCCCACACACACACTGCCCCTCCCCTCCACACACTGCCCCTCCCTAATACACAGCCCTACCCTCCACTCACTGCCCCCTCCTACACACACTCCCTCCCTAATACACAGCCTCCCACCACACACACACACTGCCCCCCCTACACACCCCTTCCCCCACGCACGCTGCCCCCTTCTTCCCCCACAAACTACCCTGTCCCTAATACACACCCCCTTCCCCACACACACCCTGCTCCCCTCCTACACATCCCTCCCCCCACACACACACCCTCCCCACACACACTGCCTCCTACCTAATACACAGCCTTCTCCCGCACACACTGCCCCCACACACACCCCTTCCCCCACACACACTGCTCCCTCCTTCTTCCCCCACACAGTGCCCCCTCCCTAATACACAGCCCTTGCCCCACCCCACAGCCCATCCCCCCACCCCAGAGCGATTCCCCACACACAGTGCCCCCTCCTTCACACTTCTTCCCCCCACACACACGTCCCCCTCCCTAATACACAGCCCTCCCCCAATACTCACACTGCCCCCCCGAACACCCCTTCCCCACACACACTGTCCCCAGCCTAATACACAACCCTCCCCCACGCCCTCCACTACCCACCCCTTCCCTCCTCACTGCGCAGCCCTTCCCCAATACACAGCCCTTCCCCCATACACACTTCCCCCTCCCGAATACACAGCCCTTCCCCACCACGCAACTCTTCCCTCCCCACTGCACAGCCCTTCCCACACACACACCACGGAGCCCTTCCTCCCCACAACTCCCCCTCTGCATGTCCCTTCCCCCACACATAGCCCCTCCCCCAAACGGACAGCCCATCCCCCACACACTGCCCACCCCTCCCTGCGCAGCCCTTCCCCACCACTACCACAGCCCTACCTCCCCATACACAATCACCTGCCCCACCACAACAGACAGTGCAACTATCACCACACACACCACTACACCAACCACCTCCCCACTACCTGACACCACACATCCCACTACACAACACACATAACTCCCTCCTCCACAAGACCCACACCACTCCCCTCCCCCACTACAACACAAACAGAGTAACGGAACCCTCACACCCTACTACACAACACACATCATCAACAGCCTACCCAACTACGACACACACACAGTGCAACTTGCACCACACACCTTACTAGACAACACACACACACAAATCTCCCCCCCACTAAAACTGATGCACAACTCCCCCACCCACAATTACACAATACAAAATGCAACTGGCACCACACACACACACCTCCACACCCAAAATCCACCCCACCACAACATACAACAAATATGCATGGCGCCAACTGCACTGTCACCCCACTTCACACACACATACACACAGACATCCAGTTGGCACCACACACCCATACTGCACAATACCACAAACCCCTATCACCCACCTGCATCCATTATGCACACAGCCCCCTACCACTACAACGCACAACATATACAAAGTACAATCGTACATTACCCCATCACCAATACAACACACAAATATACACACAGTGCAATTGGTACTGCACATCACAACTTCCTCCATCACCTCACACCCACAACCCCCACCACCACAACACATATACACACAAAAACAGTACAGGCCAGTGTTTGCTACCTCTCATCACACACATATACCCATCCATCGCCACCCCACACAGCAGAGTGCAACCGACAATGTGCCCCACTACACAATACCCACATCACCACCACCCACAAATCCACACCCATAACACCCCACTGCTACAACAAACACATACGCAGACTGCAGGTGGAACCTGCTTCTAAGCACACACATCCATTGCACATCACATTATACACACACAACCAAAACACACACACAGAGTACATCCAGTCCTTGGTGCTTTTCATCACACAGAACACCCACTTCTACTAAAGTACATATACACACTATATTATACACACTACCCTCACTACTACAACAAACACAGAGTGCAGCCAGTATCTGCTGCCTCTCACAACACATCACCCCACCCCCACTAAAACACACATATCCAACAAACACACGGTGCAGATGGGACCTGCTACCTCTTAGAACAAGAACATACACAGTGCACACACCATCATACACATAACAAACACGTACATAGAGTGCAGCCAGCACCCACCATATACCCACAGTGCACCACACAACACCACACCACCCTACAATATGCTTAACACACAGCAGGACACCTCTGACAATGCTCCTAACAAACACACCACACAACCAAGCAATACAGCACCCCAACTCACAACAAAAACCCTGCCCAACACACAGCTCCAAATATAACATACGCAAACACACCCAAAATACCTGGACACTCAAATATTCCCACATAGAGCACCTCTGTGCACACCCACAAGGCACATCTACACCCACATGTATGCACACAGCATGTATCAAACACACAATTAATGCCAAAGACCTAAATCGTATTTATACTGTGTACAAATGCTTCTGGTTCTTTCATGTACGTGAATATATATATAATATTGTGTATGTGTGTAATATGTATTATCCCAGTCCAATACAAGTAAGGTGACCAGACAGCAAGTGTGAAAAATCAGGACGGGGTGGGGATAATAGGAGCCTATATAAGAAAAAGACCCAAAAATCGGGACTGTCCCTATAAAATCGGGACATCTGGTCACCCTAAATACAAGTATATATATGTAAACATTTACAAATATGTGTATTATATATTCTCAGGCAGACACTTTAGTTATGTGGAGTTAAGATTGAAAGAATCTTCTAGTTACCTCTGGCAAAAAAATAAATAAACTGAAATAAGAGGAAGTTATATCTTTCTCCAAAACCACAAGCTTTAGAAAGCTCTGAAATTCTAAGTTAAGGTTCCACTTTATGAAGCAAAACACCACCGCTAATAAAAATACAAACAGACTAGAAAGTAAACAAATGCATAAATCTTGACAACCAGAAACTGGGGCTAACTTTTTAATCCATTACCTAAAATTATCTCATTAATGACCACAAAAATATTAATGCAGTAGGGCCTGATTTTCTGAATTGGTGAACATTCCTTTCACATGTAGAAGCAGGGATCTGCAAGTATTCTGAACCTCTTGCAGTGAGGCACATACTTTTATTGTACTGTACCTAGAGTTAGTGGCACTAGAGGGGCAGAGCTGAGGTTCATGGGTAGCTATTAGTTGTGTATTTAAATACTCATTTTTTCTTGTTTATTTACTGTAAATTTTAATCTTATCTTGGAATTTCCAGGGTTCCTAACATTTATGTACAGTGTTCTTTTAAGATATGGGTTGGTTGGTTTGTCTTAAATAACCTGAAAGATTCTTCCACCCTTCCCTGCAGGTTAGTGAAGCTTTTGTTGAGGAACTTCTTTAGGTTTTAAAATATGTTTAAAGATGGCTCACTGACAGCAGTCCCTGTGAAGTTTGTCATGGGACTACTTGTTTAAATACCTTGCTGAATCCCATGGCCTACTCACTTGTTTAATTACCTTGCTGCCTTAATGTATACTGTAACAATAAACAACTAGATTCAGAGAGAAGGAAGCCTGATAAAAGTTGAGGCCAGGATATGAAGAAATGAGAAGAAGGGGAATAGACATCTAACAGTCTTTTGTATGTTTAATGTTAATACAGTATTTCATTGTTGGAACAGCACAACAAAGTTTTATCTTTAGCTAAACATTTAATTACCTGTATCCATTTATCAGTTTATCTAGATTTTTCTGCAAATAATAGGTAAGAGACCAGATTTTTAAAGGTAGTTAGGTGATGATGTGCTCGCCATAACAGTGTATAACTGATTTAGAAGCCTAAATATCATGTTTGGGATTTTGGCTTGTAAGTGCCTACATCCCTTTTGGGAATGAGATTTAGGCTCTGAAATCAGTTAGGCTTCGCAATGCTGAGCACAGCAATGACTAAAAACCTTTAAAAATCTGGGCCTAGGTCTTCCCTTATCAAGTTTTCCTATTGTTCCTAATCGGCATGGAACCTTGCATCCACAGAGTAAGTGTAACTTTCCCTGAAGTAATGAAACCAAGCTAATTTATCAGTA